CCAACCCCTGAACTTGAGGGCAGTTTTCATAACCCTTATTCTCAAATCCCAAATGGGAAATTCTGGTGAAATACAAATAATTGAATTTAGCTTGCTTAGCTCTCAGTATTACCTGGTGACCCCCACCCACTGTCAATCACGGTTGCCCACTGAGAGTTCCAATCACAACAATAATAAAGGTGGCAAACAGAGCACGAAGTAATATTAGGCACTTCATGCCGGGAATTTGTTAAATTTTCTGATTAAAGAAAGCACACTCTGCCCTGACCGGTGTTGCTCAGTGATTAGAAAGTGGGCCCCGGGCACTGAAGGGTCCCGGGTTCAATCCTCGGTCAGGGCACGTACCTAGGTTGCAGGTGGCTCTCTCACACTGCTGTTTCTCTCTCTCCTTCCCTCTCTTCCACTCTCTCTACAAATAAATGGAAAAAATATCCTCAGATGAGGATTAACGAAAACAAAACAAAAAAAAAGCACATTCTGACCTGGCTGGGAGTTTATGCCCTGGACCTGGGTTAACCTAGAAATGTGGTCCATTCTCCTATAGTATCCTAGAACTGCCTATCATCACAGAAAGATGAACAACCTTGTTGTCAAAACAATGGAATCCTGCTCTTTGCAACCCCCAGCCTGAATTACCTGTAACCTGTAATCGTTATACCTATTCTTACTCCTTTTGCCTACTCCCCCATGCCTGTAATTCCTTTTGCCTACTTTCTCGTGTAATCTTTGCCTTCTATCTAATATATGCAGCTGGCTGAGGAGGGGGACAGGGGGGTAGTTAGAGCATATTTTTGTGGATGACCTGCAGCTCTCCCATGTTGCTGGCTATAATGGGAAATAAAAAGCTCATATAGGATTCACCCTGTATCTGGTTAATTGACTCAAGTAGTGACAGGCAGCCCGGAGCCGTTCCTTATCCACTTTTACAACATCTGGTTTACTGTAGTTTCAAGGCCATGGGCTGGCCCTGCCTGGGTAGCTCAGTTGGTTAGAGTATTGTCCTGATACACCAAGGAGGCGGGTTCAATCTCCAGTCAGGGCACATACAGAAATCAACTAATGAATGCATTAAAAAAATGTAACAAATCAATGTCTGTCTGTCTGTCTGTCTGTCTCTCTCTCTCTCTAATCAAGAAATATTTTTTAAAATTTTAATAAAATAAAGGCGTTGGTCTGATGTGCCAAAAGTAATAGACAGCAACTCTTTCTCCTTCCTGCCCTTTCTTTGTCCATTTGCCATTTGCTAAGGAATGTCTTTGATGGACCCCAAGTCTTCTGGACATGAGAACCAATATTCCACCACTTTAGTGTGAGGGGAAGCAGAATTTGCTCCCCCAAAATATGTCTTTGGGGATGTTGATTATTTTAAGGTGGTTATTTTTTAAGAAACAGAAGACAGGAAAAACCTTTGACCTTCCCCATGAAGAAAAGATACTATCAGAGATAACTACAGTTTAATATGAAGCAGACGGCATAGACAGGAAGGAGCCTAGCGAGGCCCATTGGAGCAAAGTCCTCCCTGTGCCCATTGTTTCAAGACGGCCCAACAAACATGTGTTCGCTAAACATTAACTCTTTGCATCTCCTTACTTCCCTCTGAAGTGCTAGGCCCCTAACTCCCCCTGCTTCCTTAGTCCTCATCTACACGTACGCCGCATTTTGTCATATTGTCTTTAAAATTTTTATGCTGATGTAAGTTCCCCTAGTACATGTAATTAAAACCTGATCTTCTCCTGTTAATCTGCCTATGCCAGGAGAACTTTCTAAGGGTGTGAAGCAACTGCTGATGGAGCAACCTCAGTATATGTTTCAGGCAGAACTGTGTAAAGCAGTGATTCCCAAAGTGGGCGCTACCGCCCCCCGGTGGGAGCTGCAGCGATCCAGGGGGGCGGTGATGGCCACAGATGCATTTGGGGGCGATGAGTAACTGCTATTAAAATTTAAAAGAAAAATTAATTTCCAGGGGCTGAGTAATATTCTTTCTGGAAAGGGGGCGGTAGGCCAAATAAGTTTGGGAACCACTGGTATAAAGCATAAGGAATGCACACCATCAACTGATACCGTTTCATTCTCTTCTCCTTTTATTTGCTGAATTGGGGCGAGCAAGTGACCTCCCTGGTTCTTCCAAACCAGTCTCTATCTCTCAGGGCAGCCTTACATGACTGTCCTATCCCAATTCCAGAAAAGAAAACACAATACGAATTGACAAACTATAGCCTGTGGGCCCTATCCAGCTGGCCAGCTATTGGAATATGGCCTACAAATAAGAATGATTTCCGTATTGTTGTTATTTATTTAGTTAGTTAGTTTTGGTTAATCCTCACCTGATAATATTTTTCCCATTGATTTTTATAGGGAGGGAGGGAAGCAGAGAGGGAGTAATGGGGAGAAGGAGAGATAGATAGAGAGAGAGAGAGAGAGAGAGAGAGAGATTGAGACATCAATGTGAGAAAGACATATCAACTGCCTCCCACACGAGCACTGACTGGGACAGGGATCAAATCTGCAAACCAAGTAACGTGCCCTGGACCAGGAATCAAGCCTGAGACCCTCTGGTGCACAGGCTGACGCTCAAACCACTGAACATACCTGCCAGGAGTGGTTTCTATCTTTTTAGTGGTTGAGGGGGGAAAAAATTAATAAGAAGTATCCTGGGCGAATGAGTAGGAGCTGGGAAAAGGGAGGGGAAATGGGACATACCTGTAATACTATCAACAACAGAAAATATATTTAAAAAGAAAAAGAAGTATAATATTTCCTGACACATGAAAATTGAATAGAATTAAAATTTCAGTGTTCATAAATACAATTTTATGGGAACACAGCCCGTTTGTCCATATTACCTATGGGTGCTTTTGCACTAAAATGGCAGCGCTGAGTGGTTGCAATAAACACCACACGCCCGGCAAAGCCTAAGATATTCACTATCTGCATCTTTCCAGAAAAGCACGAAACCCCTGAAGTTGAACTATTAGACTTGCCGTCCGTAGAAGACATTCCCAATCCAGACAAGGCATTCCAGAAATACAAAATGAAGACACATTAAGTCCACCAGATATCCACAGTGACACCATCCGAGAGGTCACACACTATGTCCACTCCTCACTACGCAATGAGAAGAGTGTAAGCCTTGCGTTCCTTCACTCCATTTTCAACTGGAGATGCAGATGGGATGTAACTTCCAACTCTAGACTAGCACCATTGTATCCTAGATTGATGAACTGTAAATAGCAGGCCACTTTTTGCTGCTTCTGAACTGAACTGCAGCCACAGAGTACAAAAAGATAAATTTTCTTTGGGTTTCTTGGCAAGGAGCTCTCTATATATGTAATTTTGGCTTTTGTCTCCCAATTTCCTTCATTTATCAAAAATGTTGACAAAAAGGCTCTAATTAGATCATTCTAATCACAAGAAACTGGGTGTGATGGAAGACTTCAGAATCACTATCTGCTCTTTGCAAAACAAAACAGATAGGCTATTCTCCCTGTAGGGGCAGGAGATTTATCAAGAGACAAAAGGATGCAAAAAGCCAATAGATAAGGTGTAATTAAAGATCAGGCCTATAAATTTTACACTGACATAGATTTAAGAGGATTTGCAGGTAGAAATTCAGGATTTAAAACCCAAGTATCATTATGAAAATAATACCGTTCAGTTCTGTATGCAACAACATTCTATAATATATAGGTTTATTATTAAGACTAATGCTCTGTGCCTTCCAGCCCTTTCATACAAAGAATTTAAATTATTCAGTGCCAAAGAAATTTCCAAAGTGGCCTATTTTCTTCAAGCATTCCTCCTTAATTAGCTACATGTTCCATGTATTGAGCATCTAAATCTGTTTTAGAAATAGCAATCACCTATCATATCTCTGTTAGTTGTTACAGGCATTAATTTAGAAGGTCTGTGTATTCTTATATGTTTTCATCCCCCCCCCCCTTTATAATGTAATAAAATCACTTCCAATAGGAAATTCAACATGGTTATAATACAGGGTGGGGCAAAAGTAGGTCTATAATTATTTGTATAGGACATAATACAATCCTATACAATAAAAGCCTAATATGCGAATCGACCGAATGGTGGAATGACCTGTCAGCGGGGTCAGGGCTGGCAAGTGGGCTGCGCCAGGCCAGCCAAGGCGGGTGCCAGAAGGCAGAGGGAGGAGATGGCAATCAGAAAGGTGGCAGTAGCAACCAGCTGCAGCAGAGGGGCAATCAGGGTGGGACCAGCCATTCGCTGGCCAGTGCCATCCCCCGATCAGCCACCAGTAGCCTTCCACAGAGGGAAGCCATCAGTCAGACATCCCCTGAGGGCTCCCGGACTGGGAGAGGGTGCAGGCCAGACTGAGGGACTCCCCACCTCCCCGAGTGCATGAATTTTCATGCACAGGGCCTCTAGTAATTAATAAAGAATAAACTGTGTTTGTGTGTTCACGACTGTAAACCTACTTTTGCCTGCCCTGTAGTGCTCTCTCTTCGCTGGCTCAAAGGCCAAAAGTAAAAAGAAAAAGAAAAAAAAACTTCAGAATACTATATAGTAGAGAGGGCTAAAGTATATTTGACTAAGATCCAACTTGAAACTAAAGTCGCATCTCTTAGATTAAAGCATAAATGATCATTTTGATATGTGATGCTCTATAATATTCAGCAGGTATTTAGCAGCTCAAGACTAGCCTCTGAAATCCCAGCCACTGGAAAGACAGAAAAGGAAAGGCTGCATCTTTTGGAAAATGACAAGTTTGGCACAATAACTCATTAACAAGTAAAGTTCAGAAATAAATTTAGGGGAAAAACAGATTGAGAAAACAGGTGGGAGGGATAATTTAAGGTACTTTAATAACCTCGAGGCAAACCAGGCTTGAATATTTAAACTTTTAGGGAATCACAAAAGGTATGAACAGACAGAAGCCTGGCTTGAAGGTGATTCAAAGTGAACCCTCCAGAGAGTTTAATGAGAGGCTACTGACCTGCGAGATCCCACTCAGAACAGTCACTTACCGGAGTAGGCCCAGTACGGGTCCCCAGAGGCCTTGCGCCTGCGGATCTGTGAGGAGCTGCTGTGTCTGCTGTCCTGAAGGGACCCGACGTAGCCTTCGGTCAGTGCTGGAAGGAAGACAGGAGAGCCACAGTGAGACAACGGCAGCACCACTGAGCCCAGGAAGGTGTCAGATGCACACCAGTAAGTGACCTCTGGGAAGCACAGGCCTTGGAATAACGAATAGAACCTATTGGTTTTACAGAAAAACAGCTACAGGAGACTCTGGAGATATTACCGTGGTCACTATTAATATTAATCACAGCTTACAACAAGCCAGGAAGCTCAATGCACTAGGCACTTTATATACATTACTAGAGGCCCAATGCATGAAATTCGTGCAAGGGGCTCAGCCCTCGCAACCTTGGCCGGCCCTCAAAGCCCTTCCCAGACCGGAAGGCCATTCGGTTGTTTGGTCTAATTAGCATATTAGCTCTTTGTTATATAGGATCTTACTCTGCAAGGCAGTCAACCTGGACCTTAGAGAAGTTCTTTAATGTGCTCAAGGTCATACAACTAGGAGACCTGGAGCCTGCATCCAGCCAATGTGGTGGGTGCAAAGGGCCTCCGGCCTCATTTGATCTTCAGAGAGGGAGGGTCACTCCATCTCTTTTACAGATGGAGGAAGTGAGGCTCAGAGCCCAGGTCACTGAGGTAAGTGTGCAGCAGGTCACGGACCCGAACTTAAGTACCTACATCCAAGCCAGGGCTGCTGCCACCCACATGCAGCACAGCCTGAGCCTAGGAGACTCCCAAGGTTGAGTGGCAGACTTCCCCATCCTTTGGACCCCGAAGACTCAGTCGCCTATTGTACGTGAGGATATGAAATTTAAACCCTCCAAGGACAACAGAAAAGAAACACTGCCCTGGCCAGGTGGCTCCGTTGGCTGGGGCATCGTCCTGTCCACCAAAAGGTTGCAGGTTTGAATCCCTGTCAGGGCACATACCTAGGTTGTGGGTTCAGGCCCTGGTCAGAGTGTATATGAGAAGCAACCAATCGATGTTTCTCTCACATCGATGTTTTTCTCTCCCTCTCTCTCTAAAAAAATCAATAAACATATCCTCAGGTGAGGACTTAAAAAAAAAAGAAACACTGCTTAATGATGTATTTTTTGAAAACTCAAACTGAATCTGATCTTCGACCCCATGGTGGAGGCTTCCATCTGCCAGCTCTTGTGTTCAAAGCCCGTCCCTCCCATCCCATCATGGATGCAAATCTCTTTTGTTGTGAGCCACACCTGAGTGCACTGATGTGTAAAAAGACAAATATCACAGGTGCCCAGAATCCAAAATGAAATGGAATTACGCTTCAAACAATACATCCCAGCTGTCTATGTTAACATTTAAATGCATCCAAACAAAATCAAATGTGCTTTTAAAAAGCAAAGAAAGCAGTTAGGGGAACTGTACAGTCAATTAAAAATTAGGATGGCACCAGGAAAACATAATACAATTTCTATTCCAAATTAGTCAGAGTAATAATAATAATAATCTCACCATGATGGCATTAGCAATGTAGACACTGAGACAGTCGTGAAGTAAATGAGGAAACATATAAAATACTTTATGCTTACATGTCAATTGCAAAGACATGTTTAATGCTTAAACAAAGAACAAAGATATTCCAGCAAGATGAACCCTTCAGAGGGAAAGAAGAATCTTTTAAAATCCGGAAACACATCGAAAAAGCAAAATTGATGTCATTTATGCCTCGTCATTGGTCCTGAATGGCACAGTAGAAATCTAAGTCACTTTTCATTTTTAAAGCATGTTGAAGTTTTAGGTACCTATCATCCACTCCGTCCTAGTTTTTGCAGATGAGCCATACAAAGCCCCAGGAAGGTGACCATTCTAAGCTTCTAGGGATCAAAATTAAATCTCTCATCTCCTCATCTACTTTTTGTCCATAGACTAAAGCACACGAAATGAATAACTGTTAACTGTCCACGTATATAGGAAGCTTTTTAAATGTATCTGTTTGCTGTGTATCTTAGAGCTAGTTCACTCTAATTATTCCCAAATAAGTCTTCCTCTTAGTATCAGGACAATGAGTAAGAGTGTCTTGGCCTTGGGAATAATCCATGTGGCTTCCATTAGGGCATGTGATTGAGCCTCAGTTTCCTTATCTGTAAAATAGAGCTAAAAATCCAACCCCATAGGATAGTTATTTAGAAATACAAGTTATTGTGAGCAGAGCACCTAACTGAGCATGGGGCATATGGTGCTTTTAAATGCCTGGTAACACAGTGGCCATTTGTTGCTGTCACTGTTTTTGAAACCACCATAGCCCCCACTTCCTTAGTCAGAGTCATACACTGGAGAGCCTTGCCCCTTACCTCTCCTGTCTCCCTGCCAGCTATGTGTGTGTATGTGTGTGTGTGTGTGTGTGTGTATGTGTGTGTGTGTAATGGGGGAGTGAGGGGGGCAACAGAATGACACTAGTTTGGCTTAAGCCAGTAAGACCATGTCCCTGACCCCCAACAAGGTGTTTAAAAATGGGGGACATCCACCAATCATAGAGATTCTCCTCTCTTCCTGAGGTCTTAGGGCATGAGCTAGAAGCCTCAGGGGGTGACTGAGGATCCAGCAAGGGGTCAGCAGAGGAGCTCAAGAATGGAACCATCCAACAGCAGACTAGAGGATCACAAGAATCATGTCAAAGATTTGAAATACGAAGAAGCAAAAAACACCCAACCGGAAAAGCAAAAAAAAAAAAAGAATCCAAAAATATCAAGATAGTGTAAGGAGCCTCTGGGACAACTTCAAACATACCAACATCCGAATTATGGGCGTGCCAGAAGAAGAGAGAGAGCAAGTTATTGAAAACCTATTTGAAGAAATAATGACAGAAAACTTCCCCTACCTGGTGAAAGAAATAGACTTACAAGTCCAGGAAGTGCAGAGAACCCCAAACAAAAGGAATCCAAAGAGGACCACACCAAGACACATCATAATTAAAATGCCAAGAGCAAAAGACAAAGAGAGAATCTTAAAAGCAGCAAGAGAAAAACAGTTAGTTACCCATACGATTATCAGCTGATTTCTCAACAGAAACTATGCAGGCCAGAAGGGAGTGGCAAGAAATATTCAAAGTGATGAATGCCAAGAACCTACAACCAAGATTACTTTACCCAGCAAAACTATCGTTCAGAATTGAAGGTCAGATAAAGAGCTTCACAGATAAGAAAAAGCTAAAGGAGTTCATCACCGCCAAACCAGTATTATATGAAATGCTGAAGGGTATTCTTTAAGAAGAGGAAGAAGAAGAAAAAGGTAAAGATAAAAATTATGAACAACAAATACATATCTATCAACAAATGAATCTAAAAATCAAGTGAATAAAAAATCTGACGAACAGAATAAACTGGTGAATAGAATAGAAACAGGGGCATAGAAAGGGAGTGGACTGACAATTCTCGGGGGGAAAGGGGTGTGGGGGTTCGGGAAGAGACTGGACAAAAATCATACACCTATGGATGGGGGGGGGGGGGGTAAGGGCAGAGGGTGGGGTGGGAACCAGGTGGAGGGGAGCGATGGGGAAAAAGAGGAACAACGGTCATAATCTGAACAATAAAGATTTATTAAAAAAAAGAAGAAGAAGAATGGAACCAAGCCAGAGGAAGCAAAATCTGTGCATGATTTCTGTTGCCAAATTTTTAAGCCAGGGACAAAGCCAATTTAAAACCAACCCATGGAAGCTTTAAATCTACAAGAACCAACTACCTGCAAAGTTTACTTTTCTGTCTCTCATATGCAAAAGATGCCCAAATGATACAAATTGTGACCTGGTGACCTTCAAACAAGGCACTTCAACTTCTGACCATCAAGTTCTCCATCCATAAAGGCCATTGTTAAACTCCAGCGCTGGCTCTCAACTCTGGATGCTTTAATAATAATAATAATCCTATATAATAAAGAGCTAACATGCTAATTAGGCCAGACAGCAGGATGACCTTCCCGAGTGACCTTCCAGGATGACCAGTGGGCGGGGGCGGGGGCGGGAGCGGGGCCGCAAGGGCCGAGGCAGCCGTGGCTGCGAAGGCCTACTCTTGAATGAATTATGTGCATTGGACCTCTAGTAATAATAATAATAAAGAACCCTATACCCTGGATCCTACCTGCAGATACTGGAATTTAATTGGTTGGGGTGGAGGGGGTGTGGGGGGGCAGATATGAGTATTTTTTAAGTTATCCAGAAATAAGAAGCACAAGCATCCCTGGATAAGCCAGACCTGGGGTCCTGTTCATTCTCAGCCTCTACCCTGCAACCTGTAACTTCACATGTTAAGTATAACACGAGTAAAGAGCTGGCCAGGCAGACACGAACAACTTGCTGCAGAAATCACCCGGGGGTGGTGTTAACCTCAGAATTTAGACCAACAAACCTGAACTGAGCCAGAGTTCTAGCCAGGAAACTGACAAACAAACGAAGCAGGTATCACCGTAAAGGGAATGAGGTAAACCTCAAGGATATGAACTCCTATGCCTTTTACAGGAGATGTTATCTAGTATCACAATCTCCACAACCAGTCCTCCTTTTGTCTTTTTCTTTTTCTTTCTTTTTTTTCTGAAAAGGAGATGCTTTCCATTTCCCAGAACCTTTGAGAATGTCAGGCTGGGGCAAAGTAGGACGAAGGCAGCCAGCCTGTCTCTCATTTGTGTGGCTTCCACACTGGCAGCTGCATTACCCATCCTGCTGGACAGCAAGGCGACGGGTCCAGAGCTGCATCAGTAAGCGCGCCAACCTGCCAGTACCGAGAAGCAGACCCTGAGGCCAAAAATCTTCACCTGAACTGGACAGAGGCCGTAGTTTGGGGTTCCAATTACCTGCCAGCTCCCCCAACCCATTAAAATAGTAGTGAAAAAGCAAAACTACAAAGATGTATTTCATCCAAGAAACAAGGGGGTTACATACTGGAGGTCCTCCCCTAAGTGCAAACCAATGCATCCATGTCCCCAAGAGCAGACACCTTCCCAGCCATCCGCACACATCGCACTGGTGTGAGCAGTGGAACTGCCTGTCTAAGGTAGTTCAACTTGGAACAAAAATAAGAGGTGTTGTTTTGCT